TTAGGCCCACACCTTTAGTCTTCACACAGCTCCATCCGCCATTGTGATGTCATCAGCCATTTTCTTCCCTCTTCAGCTCCAGATGTCATATCCCGACATTTAATCCCAGACTACGCCATCACCAAGCAGGCCTTTGTGCCCTCTCCCTCTGGCCTCTCATGTCAAAGGCTTAAAGCTGAAGGGTCTGGCCCGACCCCAGAGCCCTCTCTTGTGAGCTGTCCCCACAGATGAACCTGAAGGTAAAGACTGGGTTTGCATGCCTTAGGCAGACACAGCCCACCCAGTATCCAAATCTGATGACTCTGAGAGCTGCTTTTTATTCCAGTTTGGCTCCTCAATCAACTCTTCTAAAACTGAGATACGACTCCTACTTAGGGGATGTGGAAAGAGTCCGTGAGAGGAAGCAAAGAGAAATCCTTAATATAGCGTAGCCGGGGAGTGACTGAAGGAAGAAACGAGGATATAAAGAACTCTCATGCCAAACTACATGAAGGAGACTAAAGCACCACTTTTCGCTTCTATTTTAAACTTTGCTCAAACTACAACTTTCAAATCACACTCCTTTTCTCACCAAATGCACATCTTCATGCCTTTCTACTGTGCTTGTAGCGCTTCTTCTTCCTCTCCCTCTCTCTCTCGGACATACACATGTATGTGTGTGTGTGCATGTGTGTGCGTGCATGTGTGTGCGTGTATGGGTGTCTGTGCATGTGCGTGCGTGTGTTCATGTGGGGTGTATGGGCATGTGTGTGTGCTGTGTGTGCGTGCTTGTGCACATGTATGTGTGCGGACGTGTGTACAGGTGTGTGTGTGCATGTGTGTGTGTGTGTGTGTGAACAGCAAGCAGTAGACATACCACGGCCTAGACTGTACACTGTCCTGAAAAATTTTCTCTGCCAAACATGCCAGTCTCTTGCCTTTGAATTCCACCTCTCTCGAGTTCTCAGGACAGGAATAGATCATAGCCCTATTCTTTACAGAATATAGCCATGCTGTCAATGGAAACAAGCTGACGTCTCTCTTAGCATTCTGTTCTTCTACCCCCTCTAGAAAGGCCCATTAAAGTCTGCTTACAGCAATTCCATTCTGTGAAACAGATCCAAAGGCCCATGAACCACATGATCAGGTGGTCACAGCAATGACCTTACTCCTCAGTAGCCATTTTCAGTATAATTTATTTTTACACTTTCTGTGACAAAATATCTCAAAATCAGCCTAAATATATGTCTTAGTTATTATTATATTGTGGTGACAAAGCACCAGGGTGAAGGAAAGTTATAAAATAAAGTGTTTAATAGTGCTTATGGCTTCAGAGCGTCAGCATCCATGGTAGCAGAACCAAGGCATGGTGGCAGGAACAACTGGAAGATTACATCTTGATCTACGAGTAGGAGACAGAGAGCTAACAAGGGACAAGGGAAAGCTTGGACTCCTCAGAGCTCACCTTCCTGACACACTTCCTCCAACCACGAGTCTATTGGAGACATCCTCATTCGATCCACCAAAGGAAGAGCATTTCTTTGCTCTCCTGACTTGAAGGGAGACAGTGTGGCTGGGTGTCTTGCATCTGTCTGTAACTGGAAGCAGAGAGATGAATGCTGGTACACACTGGGCTTCCTTCATTGCTCCCCCTTTTACTCAAGCTGCTCAACTGCTTGTGTTTAAGGCATATCTTCCCTCTTCAGTTAAACTTCTCTGATGACACCCTCACAGATCCACCCACAGCTGGGTTTCTAGATGATTCTAGAGTCCAGTTAAGTCGATGGTGAAGACATCACACGTGCATTTGCAGATTCAAGACACCATAGAAACGTGGGAAAGCTTTGTAGGAGAGGGAACACTGGGTTTGCTGTGCTTGGGGGCTTTTGGCACAGAGGGGTTAGAGGGAGGATAACTAGAAGGAAGGCATTCTGGGTGATTGGTTTGGGTAACATATTCATCCTTCTCTGGCTGTTTCTGAGCTGGAAAGGGAGTAAAAAGGAAGCTCAGTAACCAAGTTATACTGCCCTCTGGTGACACCTGCAGCCTCGGGGTTTGGCCTTCTGAGCTGGCTGGTGCGGAAGTTGCAGGACAAAGTCTGCTGTCACGTGGTCTGGCCACCAGTCCCTCAACTAACTGGACTCTGATACTGCAGGTTGAGAAGACAGAGTACAGCCAGCACTGTAGCCTACACGTTAATGACTTGGTATTGGGTGGTCGTGCTGTGTTGAAGATCCTGAATGACCTCAGGATCAAGTTAGGACTAGGGAGTGGGAAAGACATCACTGGGAAAACAGAACACTTCTTGTTAACACGATATCCTCTCAGAAAGTGGCAGTTATTTGCTCAGGGGAAGACCTCGGAACTATGCTAAGTGATGTCTTGCAAAATAGAATCACATGATACTTTTGTTACTGACCCAGAATCTTATCAAAGGCTACTGAATCTGGTCGGTGCTGTATGTGATAGACGACCCTCAAGAAATGTTTGTGAAAGAAGTGCACATGCTGGGCCAACAGATGAGTTGGATGACTGTGATGTGGGACTCCCCTCTGAGTGCTACGAATATGTTTTATTACCATTGGCTAATCAAGAAGCTTCTTTGATCTACAGCAGGGCAGAATAGAGCTAGGCAGGGGAAACTAAACTGAATACAGGGAGAAAGAAGGCAGAGTCAGAGAGATGCCATGTAATTACCAAAGGAGAAAGACACCGGAACCTTACCAGTAGGCCGCAGCCTCGTGGTGATACAAAGACTACTAGAAATTGGTTAATTTAAGATGTAAGAGCTAGCTAGAAATATGCCTGAACCGTTGGCCAAGCAGTGTTGTAATTAATATAGTTTTTGTGTGATTATTTGGGTCTGGGCAACTGAGAAACCAAAGAACAGTCTCCGTTTACAGACCAGTGTGTGTGATTTCTTCTGTCCTGCGAGTCTTGAATTCTAACTTACCATAGTCACAGCCAGGAAACAAGTCATTCGTTTATTAATTTGACAGTATCAGTGGGCTAGAGTCCTTGTTCTGCACTCTATGTTGGAGCAGTTTTGAACCCCACTAGCTTGTTGCACTCCTATATGTCAAAGAAATGTCCACAAAAGAGCTCTTCTATCCCTGCAGAGGTGGACTGAGCACTTACAGTGTCCTGGAGCACTTTCCTCACGAGGGAGCACCCACCCACCCATGGTGGAGCACTACCTCCATATTAGGGTGCTCACCCTATGCTGGTGCACTCCCTCCATGCTGGAGCACTGCTCGGGGTTATGGGGAGGCAGTGATGAGCAAGATGATAGCTCTTTTCTTCTCAGAGCCGATACTAACAGAAATAAATCTTATTTATACTAAAGAGGAATGCAAGTAGTTATCAAAAAAAACGTATGAAAATGAAAGGCTGTGGTTCTATTCTTCTCAACATCAGGATTCCAATTAAAAGTTAGTCATGCTCTCCATGGAAGAATTGGCACACTTCCTCTCCTTGGGTTTAAGTTTGGTGGGTTTTTTGTGGGTTTTGCTATTGGTTTTATTTGGTTTTGTTTTGTTTGTTTTGTTTTGTTTTTTTGAGACAGGGTATCTCTGTATAACAGCCTTGGCAGTTCTGGAACTCACTCTGTAGACCAGGCTGGCCTTGAACTCACAAAGATCTGCCTGTCTCTGTCTCTAAAGTGCTAGGATTAAAGGCATGTACCACCACTGCCTGGTGGGTTTAAGATTTAAGTGAAGATTGACAATGTCTTTGGGCCTTACTCCAGGACTACCAAGAAAGACTTCAGAATGACACTTTGTACTTAGCCCCTCTCTAACGACGTCAAGGCTGGTCAGTGTCCTTCCGGATAAACTAGAGAGACAGCTTTGCTCAGATGGTGTTGGGCGATTCTGGAAACACAGGATTTGGGGGCTTATTGTGGTCAGTACCATAGATTTTAAGATGATACACAGGACTCCACGAATGGGAAGCTGAGACCTGTTTCTGACCCTTCTACAGATGAGCTATGTAACTGTGGACATGACTGATGTCTCAGTGTGTCTCTGTCAAACCTCCTTGAGTTATGACAGACGTCTGTGTGTCTATTTTCACTTGTTGGATCCCTAAGTGCTTAGCACTTGTTCAGAATTTCCATATCCACTAGAATTAGCATATTCTAAAACGATGGAGTTTGTTAGATTTGGTTTGGTTCCAATTTTGTGGGGTGTGTGTATGTTTGCGTATGTATGTGTGTGTATGTGTGTGTGTAAGTGGAGGGACTGGTTGTTGTTTTATTTTGTTTGTTTGTTTGTTTGTTTGTTTTGAGATTTTGCTTTTCATTTTTTTAGGGGAGTGTTTTTGGGGTTTTTTTGAGATAAGTATCTGGAAGTCACTATACAGTCTGACTGACTGCCTGAGCAATACAGTTGACTCTGCTTTCTTAGTACTGGTTATAGGTAGGCAACAAGGTTTTATTTGTTTTGGATAATATATATGCACTGTGCTGGTTAGTCTTATGTCAACTTGACACAAGCTAGAGTTATCTGAAAGGAGGCAACATGAATTGAGAAATACCTCCATAAGATCTGACTGTAAGGCATTTTCTTAATTAGTGATTGATAGAAAGGGCCCAGCCCGTGTTGCCATCCCTGGTCTAGTGGTCCTGGGTTTTTATTGAGCAAGCCAGATTGAGCAAGGCAGATTGAGCAAGCCATGGCCTCCGCATCAGCTCCTGCCTCCAGGTTCCTGCCCTGTTTGAGCTCCTGTTCTGACTTCCTTCAGTGATGGACTCCAGCGTGGAAGTATAAACCAGATAGACCCTTTCCTCCACAGCTTGCTTTTGGGTCTGGTGTTTCATCACAGCTACAAAAACCCTGACTGAGACAAACACTATCATCTCTGAAATGACCTTTGATATTACTAGTAGTTAAACCCACTGCTTCGCAGCTTCTTAAACAGTTGAGCCATTTGAGGAAGCAACGAAGCTGCACAGTGATGCAGGAATCCTTCCCGCCCCATCTTAGCCTTCTGAAACTGTCTCACTTTTGTATATTCACCAGAGCATCTCCTTGTGAAGCAGAGCTCCAGGAACTGATGGAACAAATTGACATCATGGTGAGCAACAAGAAGCTGGACTGGGAAAGGAAGATGCGGGCTTTAGAGACACGGTTAGACCTCCGGGATCAAGAGTTGGCCAATGCGCAGACTTGCTTGGACCAGAAAGGCCAGGAGGTACTGAGCACGTGTCAGTAAAGAGTTCACACTCCGAACTCATTTGTCACTTACAACCCTGTCAGCACAGCTGGTGGTAAATGTGTGCTATCAAAGAGACGCAGAGAGTAAGTCAGGCACTCACTGATGGAGACGCTCACTACATCAGTGCTGCCAGTAAATTAAGCAGACGTTTAAGGTACGTGCGAAGTAAGAGTGTTTGGGAACAAAGGTAAAAACGCTTCGTCTCCCTCCATGGAGATCAAAGCTGTCCTTGTTCAGTAGAGTTCAGGGGCATTCGCTGCCTCTGGTCTGCTGGAAAACATTCTGTGAACAAGCATATCGAGAGCTAATTGCCAAAGGAGAGTGCATTTCATAAGTGTGTGTGCATGTGCGTGTGTGTTCTCCTGTGTGGGGGGGTGTTCTTGGGGGGTATGCGTGGATGTGTGTGAGTGTGCATGTGTATGCATGTGTATGTATGGGTTGTGTGTTTTCATATGTGCATGGGTATGCATGGATATGTATGTATGGGTTGTATGTACTCATATGTGCATGTGTATGCATGTGTATGTGTGGGTGTGTTCTCATATGTGCATGGGTATGCATGGATGTGTATATATGGGTTGTATGTTCTCATATGTGCATGTGTATGTATGGGTGTGTGTGTTCTCATATGTGCATGGGTAAGCATGGATGTAGGTGCATGTGTAGGTTCTCATGTGTGTGTGTTCTAGTGTGCGTGTGTTGTCCTGTGTGCAGGGGTGTGTGTGGGTGTGCAGTGTACACCCGCAGTGCCCACTTAGAAAGGCTTCTTCCACTCCCATGGCTGCTCATTGCCGAGCTGGTGCTCATGGGAGAATGTGAGAGCCCGTAGACCCTGGGGTTGCAAAAAAGTATGTGCAGACCTACAGGTCTGGACTCTTCCGGGAGAGGCATAAAGGGAAAGTTCTCCAGTCAGGAATCACATGCCACAGAAGCGTCCATCAGCCATCTTCTGGCTCTGCGACTTCTAGATAGAACTTGGTTTGGACAAAGCTGAGGGCATTGGTGTCTCACAGGTGGGTGTGGCAGTGGTTTCCCTTGACAGGAAAGGCAGGTCCCCTGGTCCTGGAATAAGCAAGGACCTGCAGTGGCACAGATATGGAGTAGATGTCTCATCTGCATTTAAACAGGATAATTCAAATCCTTAACCAACCCTCTTAAGCATTTTTATTTTCTCGTTAATATGTTAGTTCCTCTAAAATGCAACTATTATCCATAGACTGCCAAACTGGTAAGGGATGGAACCTAACTGAAAGAAAAATCTTTGTGTTACATTAGCAGAAGTTCTACACGAGTAACAATGGCACAGCCTCCCAAACAGATCAGACAGGGTAAATTCTAAATCTTAATTTAAAATCAACAGTGCTAACACACTTCCGTGCTGTCCTCGTACGTGGCAGTGGACCAGGCCAGAGACGCTAGAGACATGTGGTTTCTGAGAATGCAGTTATTAGCAGCTATTTTAAGAACTGCCAGACAAATATTTACTCTTGGCTCGGTGCAGCAGTTTAACTTGGATTGCAATTTTCCTTTTTTAAAGGTAAAATTCAGAAAAAGCTAATTTAAAGTTTGTTCTTCATGCAGGTGGGCTTACTTCGACAGAAGTTGGACAGTCTAGAAAAATGTAATTTAGTAATGACTCAGAACTATGAAGGGCAGCTACAGACCCTCAAAGCTCAAGTAAGAGAACCTATTAATGTACCGTCACACATTTGGATACACGTTCTGACCTGTACAGTTTTTGTTTGTTCGATTTTTTGTTTGTTTGTTTGTTTTGAGACAGAGTTTCTCTGTAACTTTGGAGCAAGTCCTGGAACTAGCTCTTGTAGACCAGGATGACCTTGAACTCACAGACACCCTCCTGTCTCTGCCTCCCTGAGTGCTGGGATTAAAGGCGTGGTACCACCCTTCCGGCAACCTATAAAATTGTTAATTTTTTAAAAAAAGTGTTTTGCACACAATGAAACATTCTTGTGTCTTCATTGCATATTTGTCTCTGGGTTTTAGTATCCTCTGTGTCCTGATTTGTCTCTCCTACTAGGCTGTCAACTCAGATACCTTCTGCACTGCCTTCACTGACAGGGTACCAGACAGAAAACTTTCTGTCTCTCCAGAAGACAGAGATATTTTTAATGATTATTAGTTAAGAGACCCACAAAAAAAACCCACAAAATTATTTCCTATGGTTATTTCTGGGGATAGGGTTTCTTGCATAGCAGCCTAAAATATGGGTGTTTGCTACTCTGAAGTAAGTGGTTGGAAGAACCAAGTTGGGCTACTGATGGGCTGTTCATAGAAGCCAATGCCTCTGTACATGCCATGAGAAGGTACCAATTGCTTTGTCCCCATCACTGAGCTCCCCACTAGGCTTGCCTCAAGTCTTGTCCCCTACCACAGACGTGTCATAGGCAGGAGTCACCTCAGCATCACTGCCCAGCAGCTGCTGAGGTCCCTAACCTAGTAAAGGAGTCAGTAGGGAATGATTGGGAACTCCGCCCACCAATGCTTCTTGAAAAGCAAAGCTTTCATATGTAATAACCTAGTTAAAGGAGCCTGGAGCAGTCAATGATCCTCCTTAAATGTCTTTTTTAGAAAGGGGATTTAGGGGCTGGAGAGGTGGCTCAGCGGTTAAGAGCACTGGCTGCTCTTCCAGAGGTCCTGAATTCAATTCCCAGCAACCACATGGTGGCTCACAACCATCTGTACTGAGATCTGGCACCCTCCTCTGGCATGTGGGCATACATGGAGGCAGAATGTTGTATATATAATAAATAAATAAATCTTTAAAAAAAAAGAAAAGAAAGGGGATTTAGCCATTAAACATGGAAGAGGAAACATTTGAAGCCATTGCTTAACTGCTGTTACAAAATGTTTTGACTAACCAGGTCTACATCTTGCCTGCAATTCAGGCATGTGCCACGAGAAGGCAGCTTGTACTGTGAAACTGCATAGTTTTCTGAGCTGAGACTAGCCGCATTAAAAATTCGAGGCAATCAATGTTGGCTTTTCTTCCTCCTACAAAGATAGCAACCCAGGTCCAAATTCACTCTGACAGTTCAGTGTGGGGTGTCTGAATCTTCTGGAGAGGTGGGTTGTCTGTGTTCTGCTGCCCTCCTGAGCACAGTTGAAGCCCTGGATGTTGAAGACAACATGTGAACTTGGTAGAAAGTGGGGAGAAGAGACAGGTTGCTGGGGGAGCTTGAGAGCCAGCACAGGGCACCAGTGATTCTCCTGGGATTTGTTTTAGCATGTCACACAGTCCAGACACAATAGTGGATGCAGACAGACAAGCAGTAGGCAGAGCTGGAGGAAATCCTGTCATCTGTAGCAGACAGACCATAAAGCAGGAAGCCTACAAACACAAAAACTCAGAAATAGCCAAGTGCCACAGAAAAATAACTATGACCCCAGTCCACCAACAAACACTGAGTAGAAAACCCAGCTTTCTACCCTCTCCCAGATAGAACTCCACTCCCAGGCCCCCTGCCTGAGTGGTGTCAAGAAGACCAAATGTGGATAAGGAATATATTACTAATGTCAAACCTCAGCCAGACCTCCCCAGTTCATGGAGCCTGGATTCTAAAACCACTTTGTGGGTAGAGAATGAGGGGCCCCACCCCCACCCACCGCTCCTGAGGGTGGTGTCAGAGGAAGCCTCGTAAAACAGCAAGGTGAAGATTCACCCCATCCCGCCTCTGCTGACGTCTGTCTGAGAAGCAGTAGTGGGTACCCATGCCCTCCAGTCACAGGGCAGTCAGCATGACACTGTGAGGGTCCTCAGAACGCCCCTTCCTCTCAGCTACTATGAGGAGCACTTGCCCTCGGCACCTGACTTCCACTGTGGCCAGCATTAGCATGCCCTTCCCTCTTCCCTGCTGCAACAAAGTCAGAACGCATCGTTCTGAGACACAGTGTCCCCAAGTTTCCAGGTTCCTACAGGGAATCACTCACAATAGCAAAAACCAGATCTCAAGTGTAAATGAAGACCGGATCAGCAGATGTCAGTGGCAGCATTAGGATAATCTGACTAGGACATTGAGGCAGTGGTCATAAAGATGATTCAGTGAACATTTACAAACATGCTTGAAATCGCTAAAGATTATAATATTCTCACCAGGCAGTGGTGGCACACGCCTTTAATTCCAGCAATCTGGAGGCAGAGGAAGGCGGATCTCCATGAGTTCAAAGCCATTCTGATTTACAGAGTGAGTTCTAGGACAGACAGTGATGCGCAAAGAAACCCTGTCTCAAAACACGCGCATGCCCGTGAGTGCGCGCACACACACACACTATTCTAACATGCCCCAAAATTTGACCACAGAGTCACCAAGCTAAGTGAACTCAAACAAGATGAACTCAAAGAAATATAGAAAAGACACAAACAACCCCAGAAGCATTTGAAAGAGACAAGTCTCAACGAAGGGAAAAGCAAATTGGATAGCGGCCACCTCTTGTGTGAAGGAGCAGAAAGGTCACAAATGATGATAGAAAGGACTGTCGAATCTGGGATTCTGTTCCAAAGAAAATATACTTCAGAAGTGACAGGAAAACGAAGGCACAGTCAGAGGGAAACTCCAGCCTTTGTTAGCAGTCACGTTATCCTAACACAGTGGCTACCAGGGGTCTTCACAGGCACCAGAAAAACATCTGGAATAAAATCCTGGGTCCCTGGCCACAGACTTTTCCTTCTGCTCTTGAGTTTTGCTAATTGTTTGATTAAAAAAAAAAATAAATGCCTAGTATAATTTCCAGTGTGTGCATCAAAAATATGTTATATTTTTGTTTATAAAAGAGTTGGGATGAAAAGAAAATAAGAATTCCACGTTTGAACTAGAGAAGTGTCAAATACCTGCAGACTACAGCAGGCTGTGCACATACAATCTGATGCCTGGAGAAAAGACTGGAAAAGATGTGGAGAGACACTCAAAACTATCCACAACTCACAGGGGAGCCTTAAAATCCCGTGAGCCACGGGACGAAAGGAAAGTAAAACCAAAGCACAGGGTAGAGGAAGCCAGGAAACAAAACACAAGAAGCCACGCTTAAATCGAGCATATCCATGATTATATTAAACAAAAAATGGCCCTAACCGTACAATTTAAAGAGTGCCAGATACATAAAAACAGGACCCAGCTCAATGAGCTGTTCAAGGAATTCCCTTCAAATATGATGATACAGGGAAGCCGAAAGAAAAAAGACAGACAAAACTCCAGTATGCTGTGCTTAAGAAACTAAAGACAACTCAGTGGAAGAGATTAGCCCTTCGACAGACATGCAGAGACCTCTACCAAATGCACCAGAAGCTTGTGAGAAAGACCCTGAGTCTGTCAGCAATGGCTTAGCAACCTCCATAGCCATCCCTGCACAGAAAGAGTCAATGTAAACAATGACCAGGGACTCTGATGTCTCCTCAGACGCTACAATATGAAGCTGTGGATGTACATGAAATACGAGCCACCTGTTACATCAACTGAGTTGTCAACACAAGATGGCATTGAGTAAAAGTGAGGAAAATGTGTGGGTTATTTCTGTTAGGCTGTTAGCTTTGCTGCCTACACACCCTTCAAACAAAACTGAACCAAACATTTACCAAGTGAGTCGTCAGCTCATGCCCAGCTCGGGAAGGCCCAGTTCCACTCACAGGAGCCATGCTCAGTCTCGGTGGCTGGGTTTTAATAGCAGGTGCCATCCTCACTAATCGGGACATTTAAGTTTTCCCGTGCTTTCTAATCCTGACTTTCGTTTTTGAAAAGCCGCACGACAAAGGGCGGTTGGGAAGGCCAACTGGAAGTAACTGGTGCTATTTCCTGTCATTTACAGTTTTCTAAGCTAACCAATAACTTTGAAAAACTGAGGTTACACCAGATGAAGCAAAACCAAGTTCACCGAAAGGAAGCCTCCAGCAAAGAAGAAATACCCTTCGAGCTGAGCAGTTTGAACCAGAAGCTGGAGGTAAGCACACATTCCCAGTTCTTGTGTTCTGAAGACGGTGTACTGGAGAAGTGGGCGTGGTCTCCAGGCTCATGGCACCCGGTATGGCCTCTCAGGGCACCTTGTACTTCAGGCACTTAGTGAATTCAGAAATAACTATGATTTATAACACACACACGCACACATTCTGGGAGAGCTGAAATAAACGAAAGTACAAAGACTCTTGCCACTGCTGAGTGAAATTGAAGGGCACCCTGGGGTCACTTAAATCCAATACCTAATAAATCTTTTAATGTCCATTTAAGTAGTAGGAGAGCCTTAAAAGTGTTTTCAGAATAGGGCCTGAAGTCCCAGCTTTTTTGTTTTTTTGTTCGGTTTGGTTTTCTTTAAAGGCCTAATGCCACTCCATTTAAGTTCTCCTGTGTGGCTGAGAATTTCTAAGATCCATCTCTGAAAAGAGACCTCTCTTCTCAGCCTTTTAATGTTATAGCTTTAGCTAACACACACCAGCTGTCTTTCTTCCTGTGTAAGGGATGGTGTCTCCATGAGCTCCTGACATCTGGTTTGTTGGGCTGCAGCATGGTCTAGGGGTCACTTTCTCCTTAACCTTTGTGCTACTCTACCCAGATCCTTTCCTTCTCCTCAGGACCCAACCCTAGCCACCAGTCTCATTTTCTCCTATTCATGAACTCAGGACAACCCTGCATCTCCCAGGGACCAAGGTCAGAGACAGCACAGAGCTCTTAGGCCTTTCTCATCCTTGCCGGTCTCTGTCTGGGTCTGTCTTTCGCCTCTCCTCCTGTCTCCTTGTCTTCAGACATCACCACCTTAGTCTGCTCTTTCTTTCACACTCCTGCTTCAAAACATTTGTCAAAGCAGAGAGAATTGCAGTTTGAGATCCCAGCCCTGGAACCAGCAGCGGTGGTAGAAGGCCCATAGGTTCTATGCCTTGCTGGGTAAGATGGAGCTCCTCAGATACAAAGCCACTATCACCCAGCGAAAGGCATTCAAGGAAATCCTGACACCTACTCCTAGCCTCTCACAGGGGGAACTACCTCTCAGGAGGTACTTAAACACAGACTCTGGAGAACTCACCCCTTCTTGACATGAAAGTCAGACAGAATATCCATTGTCCTCTTGGTTGGTCCTTTGTGGGCTTCTGGAGGGGACCCACATTCAAATACATGTTTCTGACAACATCTCAGGAATATGTTTATAGTTACACAAGAGCCTTGACTAAATACTGTGTAACTTGAAGGATTATAGGCATCCGACATAGCTGTTTTTCTTACGGCCGTCTGGAAATAGCATGCAGGAAATAGCTTTCAAACAAGCACACACAATGCTATAGTAATAACAGAGACGGTGTGTGCAGTGGGAGAACATCACACTTATCACACAGATCACCCTTACCCTGCTCGCTGACTACTCTGACATTTAGGCCGTGTTAGCCTCAGAAGTCCCATCTCTGGTCAGTGCATTAGGCCAGTGGGGCTGGGGGACAGCTCGGTCAGTGAAGTGCCCGTCTCACAAGCACGAGGACCTAAGCTCAAGCTCCCCCTCAGTCTAGAAGCTGGGCATGGTGGTACACACCTATAATCCCAGCACCAAGGAGCCCGAAGCAGGTGGATCCGGGGCACACTGACCAGTCAGCCTCATCTAATCACTAAGTTCCAGGTCAAAAGAGACACAAAATCAAAACACAAAGAGGACGGCTCCGAGAAATACCACCTGAGACTGCCCTATGCCCTCCTAATGCACACATACACACACCAGACAAGTCTTTACAGTTGATATTGTAAGGGGATACACACACACACACACACACTTTTATATTTAGATACATGCTGGCACATTTAGGGGTGAAAAGGCATGTATTCAGAAAGTTCCCTTAAAAACTTCAAGAAATAAGAGCGAGAAATGAGAGAGACTGTTAGTGACTGGCAAACTGTAAAGATCATGTGGTTTAGTTACTCTCCATTTTTATGAGTATGAAAAAAATCCTAATAAAGAGTTGAGGCCATTTTGTGATGTGTAGAATCGCTGACATGACACTCGGCACTGTTTCTCGGGGCTCAGAAGAAGGGCTCTTAAAACAACCACCACTAAAAACTAACCCCAGTTATCACCAGAAACACTCATTTTAATGACATAACCGACTGGTAACCTAGGTGGCTCAGGGAAGGCTTTGTAGTCTTAAGAATTCCCTGTTGGGCTAGGTGACTTGCCCATTGCTGGCCTTCAGGGAGTCCCACATTGCTGACTACACCACGCTGACTGCCTAACCCTGAAAGCCGTACCTCTAGTAGCAAAGGGATCTGGACAGTTTGAGTACCCACGGCATGTCTGTGACGCTGGCTAGCCACCCTAGGCCGCAGCCATGCCTATTTTAGCCCTTAGGAGCTAACGTGAATGCTACTGCCTCCCCCTAAAGCATTCTGGGGGCTATTTAAGATTATTTGTGGATGTTGAGTAGGTGAGAATAAGTATATTTATGATCTAAAAAGTATTTTCTAAACTGGCCATGTGGGTCATACTGCTAATCTCAGCACTCGAGAGGTGAAGGCAGAAGGACTTGACAAGGCCAGCTTGGCTGAACAATGAGACCCTATCTGAAACATTAAAAAAAGAAAGCATATTTGCTGTTTTAAATCTTATTCCATTTTTGCTATTTTCCCCCCAAAGAGTTATTTTTAAACTAAAAAAATAATTAATTCCTAAAGTTAGCATACAAAATAATAGGTTTCCTCATGACATCGTCATAAATATTAAAATCACATTCTCGAAATCTAATTTGTGTTGATTTGTAAATGTTTCCATCCTCTATTTAGAAGCTAATTTTGTAGATGTGTAACTGTTGCTGAAGACTCATTCTTAATTTTTACATCATCGAGTGTCAAATCAGTCCATAGCTCTAAGTGGACTGTCCCCATTGCCCTAGTAAATAGAGTTTGTCCTAAGGTGTGCTGTGCCTGCATTTCCCCAGACATGTTCTCTCCACTTGATTCAGATTGCCCTTAATTTCTACAAAGTCTACTTCACTGCAGACCTCCTTCACTGATTAGAACTATGAAAAAAGCACTTAAATTCTTCCAAATATTCCTCAAAATCATTTCTGTGCAGGAAATATGAAAAGCTGTTTTTCTCATTCTAAGCAAGGTACAGTTTGCATCCTCAGAATCAACATGTTTCTTTACCAGGATAGCCCAGTCAGCCCCTCCAGCCATTTTCAAAACACCCTGACCAAACACGCCATGTTCCAACTTGACATAGTAGAAAAAATATCCCCTTGGCTTTCCTGTGACAATCTTATTGTACTTGTGTACTGCAAAGGGCTTGTTCCTGTGTGTGTGCTCCTCCTTTACTTTAGAAGAGGGGCAGGGGTTAGTCATGAAATAGGTCCAAACCAGGTGCTGTAAGCAGAGCTTAGAGCGTAACGTCCTCCGTGCTAGCTTTCTAAAGCCCGGACATAAGACAGGCTGCAGTGCCCAGAGCAGCCAGAAGTGAGATGCAGGGCTGTCTTCTCTGGCACCTCTGAAGCCATGTCTGTCGCTCACAGTGCTGTATTGTGCCGTCATCCTCCACGCTGCATGCGTTGAGTGGGCACTGTGTAGCTAAGCATGCTGTACCCAGCTAGTCCCACATTTTCTTCCCCAGCTCACACATGTGAATGAAGGCCAAGATGTGTTCTCTGTTCCCCAAGTCAGTTGATTTTAGCCTCCTCCTATACACAATGGCTTTGAAAGCCAGAGGCCAATAAAGCCAACATTAGCTCAGGCTACTACAGCAGAATGCAGAGGCTTGGTAGCTTAGACAAAGGGCCAACAGGTTAAGATTCAAACAATGACCTCCTCTTGGTTCAACAGCAGGAAACAGGGGAATGGGAGGAAATTCTTATCTTTGATTGGGTGTGTGTGTGTGTGTGTTCATGAGAATGCAAGCATGTGTAAAAGCTGGACGTCAGCATCAGGGATCTTCCTCATCTCTTTTCTGTAAGTGGTAACTGCGCATTGGTTTCCCAGCCACCCAGACCTGAATAATCACACAGAAACTATACTGATTACAACACTGTTTGGCCAATGGCTTAGGTGTCTTCCTAACTAGCTCTTATATCTTAAACTAACCCATTTCTATTAATCTGTGTGTCGCCATGAGGTTGTGGCTTACCAGTAAGGTTCCGGCATCCTTCTCCTTCATTAGCTACATGGCATCTCTGACTCTGCCTACTCTCTCTATATATCTCTGCTCTGATTCCCACCTGGTTTCACTCTGATAAGCCATTGGCCAAAACAGCTTCTTTATTTTTTTTTCTTTT